GCTCCGAAAAGCTCTACACAAAGTAAGATTCTCAGGCTTCCTGCCGCTGGAGGATGAGGAAGAGACTACCGACGGGGATTTGATTGAAGTTAATCATAAGAACTACAATCAAGATCGGCTCATGGGAAAGGCCGCTCTTGGAACCATACGGAACCACATTAAAAACATGTTCGAAGGATCGTCGACAGTAAAGGATGGCTCGATGGACGTTAATTCGATAGACACCCATGCGAACGCGGATGACACGACTGCGGAGGTGTCGTCGACTACACAGTTGAACATTTACGACGAGTCTGAAGACCGCCTGGAAGCGTACCTCCAGAGCGATATTGTGAACCACATCTTCGATATGATGGTCAATCGAATTTCGTTGACAGTGTTTCCGAATATAACACTGTCGGCAGCCTCCACCATGACTAACTTGGGCGACGTGCTCTGCGAGAGCGCCGCCGTGACCACCTCGGACAAAGACATCTGTACCACCTTCACGATCCTGAAACAGCAACTAATCTGCCACGCGAAGGAGCCTGTCATTCGGTGCGACCGGTTACCTCCCCATAAGATCACGCCTGTCGAGGAGGACAGCCAGCTAGACATACACGACCTCGGCGTCAACATTACCTTCGAAGAAGGACACGCCATAGACAGACGGCTATTCAGCGCCGTAGACTCTGTAAGTCCCCCGCCCTTCCATCCTTCCATGGTCGTGTTGTAGTTGTATCAGTATGCCAAGAGCGAGTACCCTTGTGGTTTGGAAATTCAGTCTGATGATATCCTGCCTGGTTGGGGACTGGAGGCGGTAGCCTACTTGGATTATGAAAACTTGAACAGGTTGAGGCCGCAGTCGGTGAAGAAGGCGCCTCTTTCTTTATTGTTTAGAAACGACGAATGCGACTTTGTTATTGTGAACCGAGGGACGATATTTCCGAATGATTGGTTGATTGACTTCGTGACACAATTGGAGCCTTTGGAATATCAGCATGCTAACGGCACACGGGAGGCGCTGGGCGAGATCGTGAAGGGGTATTCGTACCTGACAACTACGTTGGCGAGTCGTCTGGGCGAGGTGATCGAGCGGCTCACGGCGGCGGGCAAGAGTACGTCGGTCCAGAGTACGCCGGGACAGAGTACGACGGGCGAGACGGGGAATAAGCGGCCTGCAAACGCGTGTGCAGGTGGCCCTCGATCGATTACGATCACGGGCCACTCGATGGGAGGCGCTTTCGGGGCGGGCGAGACGTTGCTGTACTCGGCGAAGTGGCCGGAGACGAAGCTGGCGCTGGTGGGTTTCGGCGTGCCGACGACGTTGGACCCGACCGCAGCCCGACTGCTGGCCGAGAGGGCTACAGTGCGTTCATGGAGCAACGAGTTCGACCCCGTGACCCGCCTCACTTGTCTCACCGAGCAAGGTATGCCGCGCTGCGGCCCAGCGCCTGTCCCAATGCGCGACTACTACGCCCCTCTGCCCAATACCATCACAATTCAAAACTACGAACTGGAACAAGCAATGCCCAATCTGCGCCAGGACTCCTTCGGAACGCTCTCCCTCAACCTCTTTACCCGACAGGTAGACACCGACCACATCTATTTCCCTGCGCCCATCCAGGTGGCGCAACTTCACACATGCGCCTACGAATGCTGGATGAACCACCGCTTCGGCAAAGACTCCAACAACGCTTCCGAAATATGTAAAATGTGCTCCCTAATCTGAACCCTTATCTGAATCTTTTATTTAACACTCTGATCGGCTGCAAACGAAAACAACTCTGCAAGCGACCTGACCAGCCAGCCAGGCTCTCCGATAAAATCGCTCTCTGGCTAGGTTATTTAAACAGGCAAAAAACGTCGGGGCAGCTCGTTGTTGCTCCGACTCGGTGATCCGAACCTGCTGAGTTCGGTATGTCTCCGGGCGCTTCTCTTTCTGGCCCAGATGCCGAAGGCGCCTGCGCCGGCCATGACTACGCCACCGGCGGCTGCCACGGTGCCGATGGTGGAGCCGGTATGGTCGCTGGACTCAGCAATCTTCGAGTGAATGGCGTCTGAGTCACCCTGGGCTTCGCTTTGGCCAGCGTCGCCCTGGGCCTCGCTCTGGTACTCGCTTTGGGCCTCGCTTTGGGCGCTCGGTTCAACGGGAAGATCACTCTCCAAAATGCCCATCGGAGCTACCCGGAGCAGGTCATTACCTCCCTCGGTCGCGTTGGGGCCCAACTCCTTCGCAAAATCTTGGATGAATGCACCCAAACCACCCGCAGCCTCCGCATCCAACGGCAAAGTTTCATTCGCCATTACAGTGTCCTTGTCTTCCGTCTCGCTGTCACCAAACAAACGATCAAATATACCAGCCTCATGGTCAGTACCCGCACCCTCGTTAGTGCCTCCCGCCGCGCCGACCATCTGTGCCGCGCCATCCTGGATTGTGACACTCGCGAGTTCGCCACTCGCGACGGGAGCGCCGACTGCTGCCGCCGGATCCGCCCCGGGTACCGGATCCGCTGCAGGAGCAGCGAGGCCAGCAAAGCTGTTGCCGTTCGCAACCGGCAGCGCCAGACTTGAAGCCCCTCCAGCCACCGCTGCATCGCCATTGAGGACGTTCCCAGCGCCACCCGCAATGTCTGCAGCCACTTCTGCGCCATCCGCACTCGCCGCTCCAACGGCTGCAGCATCCACACCTGGATTCTGCACGGACCCCGTCCCAACAACCGACTGAACGTTGTCACCAGGCGCCACCGGCTCGTTGGCGCCGCCAAACAGATCTGCAATACGTATTTATTGCCCAGCACACACGTGTGCTATCCAGTTTGTCAAGTCCAAGCTGGCTTACCGGCAGTTACTGTGCCCACTAGAAAGAGTCCCAACGAGGCACGCATTAAATTGGATATCAAAAAAAGTTGGTACGGAAAAAAGACTGCCCCAAACCAAGTTTCATGCTTCCAGACAAATGTTACCCGGCGATATCCGTTCTCGGTCGTCGAAGACGCTACCTCGGCGGCTGGCGCGGCCGATACGCTGGCTGACCAAGAGGCCGGGCATAATTGGTGTTGCTGGGTCGATCTCGCTTTTAACGCTCGTTTTATATTTTGTGTTTCTGGGATCGACGGGTTCATCGGCAATTAACGGTGAGAGAATGGTTGGTGTTTTTTATCGCGTTGCTACTCAGAGAATGCCCATCAGGAGATATGGGAGAAGAACGCACGCTTCATGAAAGATGAGTCCGAGAGCTTGACCGTGAGCAGTGAGGTGACTAGGTACCTGCAGTCCGCGTCTAGTCGGTCGCTGCCGGGCTATAACCCGGACATGCCTTTGGTGGTGTTCGAGCAGGCGCCGACGCCTCGAACAGTTTTGACCGGCTTCAATGACAGCGTTATCGCAGATCTGCAATACTATTACAATAAAGACGATAAGAAGTTACCCTACGGCACGAACCCGAAACTTCACTCGAAGTACCCTGTGGGTAGCCGCCTATGGGAGAACACGTTTGCCACCTTCCCCAAAGCCAATTCGGAGCGGATGCACGGCCGGCTCGGCGTGACGCATTACGGCTCGCCAGTGTATACTCCAAAGGACATGCCTCCAGTACTTCGGTCATACCCGGGGGGTTTCGAGGCGGGTCTGAAGCTAGGTGGGTTTTACCACAACATGTCTGAGGCGCTGCCGTTGGACCGCGTGGTGCCTGACTACCGCGAGCCGGTGTGTCAGGCGCAGACGTTCGACGTGGCAGACTTGCCGGACGCGAGTATCGTGATAACGTACTTCAACGAGCCTTTTTCGACGTTGATGCGTACTGTCCACAGCGTACTCAACTCGACTCCGCCAGAGTTGGTGCGGGAGATCATTTTGGTGGACGACCACAGCGACTACATATGGGGCCAGCGGGACAAGTTTGCGGTGGTGGACTACACGACGACGCAAGCGTATCAGACGATACTTGAGGAGTACATCCGCTACCTGCCCAAGGTGAAGTTATTGCGGCTGTCCGAGCGCAAGGGTTTAGTGCACGCTCGATTGGCGGGGGCACGCGCAGCCTCGGGCAAGGTCTTGGTGGTTTTGGATTCGCATGTGGAGGTGAACAAGGGCTGGTTGGAGCCGCAGTTGGCGAGGATCAAAGAGTCGCCAAACAGCGTGGTGTTCCCGCAGATCTTGTCGATCAACCCTGAGGACTTTACGTACGACACGCACAGCGGCATCGGGTGCTCGCTAGGTTTCAAGTGGAACATGGTGGAGCAGAGCAGTCTGACCTCCACGGTAACGGACCCGGCCCCCATCCCTTCAGGCTCCATGGCGGGTGGACTGTTTGCTGTGGATCTCGAGTACTTTTGGCACATCGGCGGTTACGATGACGGTTTCCGCATGTGGGGCAGTGAGAATGTCGAGATGGGCTTCCGTACTTGGATGTGTGGTGGCCGACTCGAGTGTTTACCCTGTAGCAAGACCTACCATATCTACCGCAAGAAGGGCGGCGGCTACAGCTCGCCTGCCGAGGATATTGTGCGCAACAAACTCCGGACTGCGCGTCTCTGGTGCGATGATTACTACTCCCTCGCACGCACCTTCATCGCTCCCAAAGCCGGAGTCGAACCCGGCAACCTCGACCGCATGCTTGAGCTCAAACAACGCCTCCAGTGCAAACCCTTCCAGTGGTATCTCGACAACGTGCCCTTCTCTACCAACAGCAAATTCCTGAAACTCCGACCGGAGTAAGCGACCTGTGCATACTCTATGTGTGCAAAGTTTATGTGTATGTATACGAGATGTATCTTTCTGCAGGGACGTGAAAAAACTAGGAGAAATCAAGCCCGTCCGTGCGCCGACGTGGTGCGTAGACACAATGCAGCGCACGGAAATCGGCCAAAGTGCAGGCATCTTCCCCTGCCACGGTGACGGGGGTACGCAGGCCTGGCTCTACATCCGGAATGACGAGTGGAGCCACGTGGTTGCGAGCAGCAACGAAAAGTTCTGCCTCGGCAGGCACGCAGCCTACAAATTCTGCGACAGCAAAGACGAAGATCAGCGCTGGCTGGCCACGCAAGAGTCGGCCGCCACGCGCATTCAGCACGTGAGCACAGGCCAGTGCTTGGCCTTCAAAAATGTAAGTTCCGCCCCGGCACTGCTCCGAGTTTTGATGCGTGCTCTCTTTGAGTCTTATCCGATATTTCTTCTCGTAGAAACAATTGACTAGTGCGGACTGCGCATCTGAAGAAGCCAACTGGCTTTGGCAGTCGTACGAGAAGCCACCGTACGTGCCTCTCACCTTCTCCAATGAGCGCAAGGAGAAGCTCGAGCGATACGGACATCCTCACTTGGTCCAGGCTTGATTCTTGAGTGAGCAACTCTTCTTAAGGAGCTGGTCGGTGTGCCGCGTGAGCTCGCCAAACTCCTTGCGGATCAGGTTCGCGAGGTACTGACTGAGCACGGCGCGGTCGGCGGGGGTCAGTTGGTCCCAGGCGGCTTTGTCCTCGAACAAGGTCACCAGTTCACACTCGTCGAAGATCGTGGTGATTAGCAAGTCCGGCCCGAGTGAGAACATGGCCACGCCGCCCGTCAGCTCGCCCTTCGCGGGCGGCCAGAACTGGAAGGAGCGCACTTTGATCTTGTCCAGATATATTGTCGATGAGGGGCCGCGCACGTTGGTGACCAGCAGTTGCACTTTGTTCACCATGGCTGTTACAAAAAACTACAAGAAAGTCGTGCATGATGAACAGGAGAGACAGACAGAGACTGCGGCTGAGGGACCCCAACTGAGGGGCCGAAAGTAGGGGAAGACTTACGCTAATGATGGGACCAGGGAGTATTTGGGCTCCGGCTCTCGAAAGGAAGTAGAAGAGCCAGGAGACATGTTTGGTCTTGATATGGTCCAGTTCCCGCTTGACGTCCCAGAGGTGCATGAGTGGCGAGATTTCTTCCAGCGTCATGTTCTGTGACCAGCTGGTGAGAGTTTTCCTTTCTGAGGTGAGTGGTGAGTGGTGCGGAGTGGATGGGCGTGAGAGGCGGGGGTGGGTGTGTGGTTTACCGCTTTCGTAGGGAAGAGGCATTCTGCACATGACGGTGGCGGTTGCGTTATTAAGTTGTTTGGGAGGTGCGAGTCTGGTGCTCATGGGCATCATGATTTGAACGTGTTTGTCGAATTGGCAGGAATAGCTGGAGTGCGAGGGGAGTACGTCCGCCTGGTCTGCGACGAGGGCTTGCTGTTGGGTGGGAGCCTTTGAGCGGAGTCCGTCTTCGGTAGCGCGAAAGGAGGGTGAGCCGAGGTCTGGGAAGTGTACGGGGCTTTCGCCGGCGACGACATGGCGTGTGCTGTTCCAAGGTGTCTTGTCTTGGTGGAGGGTGTGTGCATGATTTCGAGCGCGGACTTTGCGGAGGAGGTCACGAGTGGCTTCGCCGGAGCGGAGACGTTTGACCGCGCGGGCGACGCAGCAGAGCATGACGTCGTTGACGGTGGGGCGGAAGGAGGCGTGTATGGCGAGTTGTATTTTTTGGCGCAGTGCATGGACGGCCTGGAGGGGGATGAGCACGGGCGGAGACAGGTGTTTGATTCCGGTGGGTCGATTGCGTGTGCACAGCGAGTCGGGTCTAGGTTGGAAAGTGCTCGGCGGCTTTGGACACCATAGCGCCCAGAAGACAATGACGCGGAGCCCGAAGAAGAGCATGCGTACCCACTGCCACGCCACAAAGGCACAGGCCAACACGCGTTGTCGCCAAGTGTACTCAAACCCGTTTACCAACTGGTCCACCTCCGCCGACCGGTCAAAGAAGTGCATCAACAGACTTGCCATTATCGCCGTACCGTCACCCATGCCGTGGTGGCACTGGCACACCACACACGTGTCTGGTGTGTCTTCCGAGGCAGATCCACTCGGCTCCTCAGACCCCGAGACGGCTGCTGCGCTCTTGTGGATTTTGAGGAGGACAATGCGCCAGGGCGGAGCCTCGCTCGGCAGGGGTGAAGAGGCTAGTTGGGAGACGGCCTCGTGGATCGTCGTCTCGGCTGCGTCGATGTCGACCTGATAGACGTGCTTCCGGATGTCGAAGCAACCAGCCGGGATCGCGGGGGAGTCAAAAGCAGGCGTCCTGCCCAGCAGGGTCGCAGGCGGGGTCGTAACAGACGAGAGATCGGGCGAGAGATCGGGCGAGAGATCGGGCAAGAGATCGGGCGAATGCACAGACGGCAGAGGCAGCCGGAGCGTGGTGATGGGTTCCTCGATGTCGGAACCAACGTCAAGGTCGCTTTCACGCACCAATGGCCGCGACAGTGCGCGTTTCTCCGCACGCGTGTGCGCGCTCGCCGCACGCGTGTCTAAGGTGGTGTCCCGGAAGAGGGTGTCGGCGGCTGGGCCGATGGTCTGGTTGGTCTGGGTGTCCGTATTGTTTCTTGTCAATTTGGCTATTTTCTGGATGGTGACGGTATCCGTTTTGCGTCCACGTCGGTGGATGTGGTCGCCCCAATAGCATCTGTGAGGGAGGATGAGTGGTTGCCAGGCGAGTCTGCCGAACGCGTGTGTGAGTATGCTGTGAAGTTTGGAGTCGCTGAGGACGAAGCGTTGGGCGACAAGGCGGCGTAAGCGTGTGAGTGAGAGGGGTTGATCGAGAACGGCGAGGCCGACGATTTGGCAGCGGTTCTCGGGTGTGTCTAGTGTCCAGTAGCTGTCTGCGCTAGCAACTGGGAAGATTGGTGCTCGGATGGCGAGGAAGCGGCGGAAGACGGACTCGATGGAGCAGAAAGATTGGGCAGGCCGGTGAGGTATTTTGGTCTTGCGATGTGGACAGCGATCTGTGCCGAGGAGGGCGTAGGAGATAACCAGCTTGTACTCGGGGACAGGGAAGAGTACACAGAGCATGGGCACGAGTAGCGTGACCGCGAGGTCAACGAGCGTGTGTTCGCTGTGCCATTCCCGACAAGTCAAGATCGTGCTCAAAAAGGTCCGGTCCGCACCCCCCGCATCGCGGCGCCAGATCAGACGCACGAAGTCGCGATAACTAGACGTCAGCGAACACAACCAAAAGACTCCCAGCTGCGCGAGGTTGAACAGAAAAAGGAAGGATGCCACGTACAAAATTCGCAATGAAACACTCGCCAGGACCAAGTGTAACAGCCAGTACAGCACGCAACTCGCCAACGGGAAACATATGGTAGACCAACATAACATACGTCCCGCCAGGCACAGCGCCGGCTCCATCCACCTGCGCACCAGCAGTAACAGCCGCGGCTCCTCACACGGTCTGCAACGTGCCATGGTTTTCCGGTCGAGTGCGTCCGCGTGGAATTGGACTGACTATGTCGAGTGTGCTCTGAGCGTGATAGGTAGGGTTGAGCGTGATAGGTAGGGTTGAGCGTGATAGGTAGGGTTGAGCGTGATAGGTAGGGTTGAGCGTGATAGGTAGGGTTGAGCGTGATAGGTAGGGTTGAGCGTGATAGGTAGGGTTGAGCGTGATAGGTAGGGTTGAGCGTGATAGGTAGGGTCGATCGTGGTAAAGTATAAAAATGCTTTGAAAAATCAGTCAGTCAGTCAGTCACTGTTTGGTGCTCAACCGGGCTATGTTCTCTTTTTCGAGATCTTTGAAGTACCTGAGAGTCTTGACCTTAAGTTCGGCGCTGGCGGGGTCGTCGATGAGCATGACGGCTTTGGGGTGAAGTTGGATGCAGGTGATTGTCCAGAGGTGGTTGACGTTGCCTTCTACGCCCTGCATGACGGCGAGGTCCTTGGCATGTCCAACGGCGAGGATGAGTAGTTCGCGTGCATCCAGGAGCGTGCCTACGCCTATGGTGAGAGCCTTAGGGGGCACGGCGGTGGGGTCATTTCCGAAGAATCGTGCGTTCGCGATGCGTGTATCCTGAGCCAGGGTCTTGATGCGAGTGCGCGATGTAAGGGAGCTGTACGGCTCGTTGAACGCGATATGGCCGTCATTGCCAACGCCGCCCATGAAAAGCTCCACGCCGCCGTAGCTCTTGATCTTCTCTTCGTACCGCGCACATTCCTCTTCCAGGTCCTCGGCATTCCCGTTCAGAATGTTCACATTCTCCGCAGGGATGTCAACGTGGTTGAATAGATTCTCGTGCATAAAACTCCAGTAAGACTGTGGATGGTCCCGCGGTAAACCGATGTACTCATCCATGTTGAACGTTACCACGTGCTTGAAAGATACCTTACCGGCCTTGTTCAATCTAACCAGCTCCGCATAAGTCTTCTCCGGGGTCGACCCAGTCGGCAAACCAAGCACAAAAGGCTTCTCCGCAGTAGGCTTGAAATTATTGATTCTGCTCACAATGTAATTGGCAGACACAGTAGCCACATCCTCAGCGGTCTCAAGAGGAAGAAGTCTCATTATTTAAAAAAAAAACTAAACTTTGACCCACCAAAGAACCTTCATGTCCCATCGTCTGCACGTCCCACCACAATTCATGTTCGTGTTCTCTTCAGGTCGGTTGAGACCCTCAGGTCACAGCCTCAGCTCGTGTTGCAAGCTCGTGTGTGGTTGCTGCAAAGTCGTAAAAAGGGTTAGTGTTTCTCGTCATATAATTTGCAGAATGTGTCCACTCCGGCCCGGAGTGTGTCCTTGAAGTGGTTCAGCATAGTGGGTAGACGGTCCACGTACTGTAGGGGCGGAGTGGTCTGCCATTTGAGTTGCTTGAAGTTCAAGAATCCGTCAAGATTTTCAGAACTCATGGAGTCAATAGTCCAGACCGCATGGCCGATCGTTTTTTCCCCGTCGAGCATGTCAAATTCGAGCTTGAGGTTGAAGTCGAAGAAGTGCCTCACCCGTCCTCGGACGACCATGATTTGGGCGTCTCCGGCCATGTCCTTGGCGTTTATATTCTCAATCGCCAAGCCTGAAGCGGTACAATTAGAGTTCTCTAGCTGGTTAGTGAGCATGGAGATGCACCACTTAGTCGTATCCTTCTCCTCGTATGTCGCTCCGGACGCGTTCCAATCTGACACTCCCTTCTTGCTAGGTGACGGCTGCTGTTCTTCTACCATTTTCTGGGGCACATGAACAGTATCTTTTAACTTCCTTTCTTCCTCTGTTAGCTGTTTGCGGAAATAACAGTAGCCTCGCTTCTTCGTTTCTTCAATGATCTTCAGGTCCTCCTCATCTAGCACCAGCTCGTCTGCAACCTTGGCGGACTGCGACTTAGGGGGTGCAGCAGCTTTCTTGGTTGGCGACTCTTTGCTCTTGTTTGGCGACTCTTTGGTTTTGGCTGGCGACTCTTTGCCCTTGTTTGGAGAGCCTTCGGAAGAAGCTGTAGCTTCTTGGTCCTTTTTCGCTTCTTGTCTCCGGCGTTCGCGCCACTGTTCGAAAGTAATGTCTTTGCTGAGTATATCCTGGGCGTAGTCGTCGCGTTCCTTCTTCTCTTTCGCGAGACGTTCGGCCTCTCGGTCTGCATACAAGTTGTCTTTCCCGCCAAACAACTTGCCGCCAAACCGCTGTTTCTCCAACTTCGCCGCCTTCGCCCGTTCTTCCTTGCACTCCTGGAGCCGGCGCTTGGCCTCTGTGTTCGTCGCATCAGCCTGCACAACTTGGTTCAGGTCCGTTTCTGCTTCGTCAAAGTTACCCACCCCCAGGTGGCACACACCCCTACGGTACCGAACCTTCTGGTGCAAGGCCGGGTTCCGCACAGAGTTAGTCAACACCTTGTTTGCACTGTGGATTCCGACATACCACTGTCCATTCTTCATTGCCGCCAAGCATAGGTTGCCATTCAGCGAGTCTTGGCATTCATTGAACGCCGCGCTGTGCTTGTCCACACAACCATCCAACGCCTTTAGACCTTCCTCGTAACGCGCAATCGCTTCCACATATTTTCCAGCTTTCAACTACACACACCAACCATACACAACGTTACGACCCAAGAGTAAAGTGTGTGCCTGTGTGTCCACACTCGGCGCCATAGCGAATGCTACCAACCGGCCCTTCACCCCAGAGTCATTTTACCTCATCGTTGCCCTGCTGCTTATAAACACCAGCATGTTCTATCTTAGTGCTATCTTCAACGAACGAGTCTTCGCTGCCCGCCATTCTGTTGCTCAAAAAATGCGACTGTGGATTTGCGGCTTAAAAATTGCAGCCGCCCTCAAACATGAGTTCCTCTCGGAAACCGCTCTGGCTGAATCCGCGAAGGAGTCGAAAGCTGTACGCAGCCGCTTGCACCACCTGGGGGAACTCATTCGGGATACAGATTCACGGGGGGACTTATTCTGCGTTGGGCAGAGTCATTGTCACGCGCCGTGTACTCTGGTCATGGTGCTGTTGTAGGGTCAAGAGGCGATTGAGCAGGTGTCGAGTACTTTGACAAGCTTTTCGGATCGCGTGTCGTCCCAAGGAACGAGTCTGGACCCGGATGTGGTATTCGAGAGTTACTGTGTTCATGACTATTCGGCACCCTGTCCTGACGGTTGGGCGGTGGGGGACAAGTCTGAATATTGCATAGCGGGCTTGTCTTATACAGGTTCGAAGGAGCCATATTTTCCTCTTCCGGTTGACACCAAAGCGAAGCAGAATGTGGAGAACGACTACGGTATTCATTGGCCCTGTGCAGTGAGCGGTTGTGTACAAGACTATACGGTCCCGTGTCCGGAAGGCTGGAGTGTTAGCTCCGATGGGATTTGCAGCGAGCAGTCAGGACCGCAGACCTTTGCTGGGTTTGCCGCCACCGAGTCTGACCGGAGGAGTTTCTCGCTGACCAACGGCGTGACCTGGCCGTGCATGACCGACTGTATTAAGGACTATCATACTTTCCTTTGCCCCATTGGCTGGGAAGAGGTTTTGTTCGATAACGTGGTTCAGTGTGAAGCACCCACCTGGTACCAGGGCCCCTGTCCCGGAATCCAGGCCGTGGGGGGACTCACAGTCGACTTGCTGCGAGAGCTCGAAACCAGGTGCAAAGTCAGCTACCCTTGTCAAGCGTGTAAACTTAGCGACAAGCTTTTCGACCAATTCCAGTGCCCTGTTGGCTGGCAAGTCGATGACTCCGACCACCTCTGCCACCGGACAAGACACCAGGAGCAGGCCAGTTTAAAGAGACACGACACGTGTGCGGAAGTACTTGGTGTGACTGCAACGTCCAGTAAGGAGGAGAAGCTACATTTCGAGATCTGGTGTGGCGCTCGCTGGCCTTGTGCGTCGGATGCGGCCGTTCTGCCGGACTGTGCTCAGGACTTCACCTACCCTTGTCCACTCGGCTGGGTCTCAACGGGGTGGGCCGGCGTGGGCACCGCCTCAACCGGTATGGGCACGACCTCAACCGGTATGGGCACGACCTCAGTCGGAGTGACTGAAAACGGCGTCAGTCGCAGCATTTGCAAGGCTCCGGATAGCTACGTTGGCCGTTGTCCGGCGACCATGACGATGGTCGACACTGTGTCGTTTAAACAAGCAGCTTCTCAACACTGCGGCTTCGTCTTCCCTTGTCTCTCGGACTCCGCCCCGGAGCTTTGGACCGAGGCTGCGAAACAGGTTGTCGAAGAGGCTCCCAGTGACAAACCCTACGCGGAGTCGGCTGCGAACGGACCGATAAATATGAAAGGCCAAGTCGTCACTCTTCCCTCCTGGAGAACCCAAAGCGATCAGTACTGATCCAGACTTAGCAGAACTAGCTGGACTGGTGGAACCAACCGCTTGCCAGTGGAGCGTCACTTCGGGCTATCAACGCAACCCGCCACATGGAAAACACGCGTCCCACGGTTTGGCCGGGGGTGTCCCACGGTTTGGCCGGGGGTGTCCCACGGTTTGGCCGAAAGTGTCCCAGGGGTCTTTTTAGCTAGGTAGATAGACAGTGTATGCCCTTCGTCGGTAAGCCCTTCGTGCTTCTACTCAATAGTTTGTACCACAATTGAATGCTTTGCCGCTCGATTCCGAGCCCGTTTTGCGCGAGCCCGTACATACTGTCTCGGTCTAATTTGTTATAGCGCGCGTCCAGAGGTCCATATTACCCTTAGTTAGTTAGTTATTCTTTTACGCCTTTACTGGTTTTCGGTTGCTACTCTAGCTCTTCTCCCAGAAAGTAGCTCTTCTCCTACGCCCCCTCAGAACACCAAAAAAACCTTGCTATCTCTTACGTCGCTAGGGGGGGGGGGATGGCGTCGACTTTCACCTCCTAACACATTACGGTTCCCAGGGCCCACAGTTTGGCCCTCGTGGCCGTTGTGTGTGGACAAAGGAACCACAAACAATGAATGTATTGCCACTCTGTAGGGAGGGAGTATTCTCGTAGACCACCAGTTCTTTTTTCCCCCCCCCCCC